GAAAAAAAAAAAAAAAAAAAAAAAAAAAAAAAACAGCAACAAAAAACCAAAAAACCTGTCATTTATTTTGCAATAATTCTCATGCTTCAGAAAATTCCAACTAAGGATTTTTTCTTCACACTGCTTTGTGATACAGAAAACGAATACTATAATATTCTTAAATTTCATTTATTTAAGGCACTTTCCACCAGGTGTAAGAATAAAACTACTCTGTAAAGTATAACTACATTTCAATAAACCCAACTGTACGACACAAAAGAAAAACCAAACATCCACATTCGAAAGTGGCTTCACCTCACTTGCTTGCTAAGAAGCTGAAGACTGTGGCAAGGGGGAAGCAGGGAGTCTGCCCAGCACTCATATGGAGGGGGCTCCAGTCCACGAGGTCACAGGACAGTGACCTCTGAAACCCTTGTCTCACTGACGGGCTGCAGTGATCTGTGCTGCTCTGACTGAACTGGTAAGTAAAATACCAACATCATTTAGTAATATTTCCTGTGTGTGCCAAGCCCCGTTCATGTCCCAGTAGCATGTGCACGACTCCAGAGAGGACGTCCCATCACTGTATGCGTCACACATCTGCTAACCACAAGGATGTGTCAGGTTGTTACAGACCCTTTACTCACGTGAATGACCTTATATACACAAACAAAAGACAGCAGCATGCTGACAGTCTGGTGCTTTTCCAAAAACGCAGAGGATTCTTTGCTTTGCTTTTGTAGTACTGCGGATTGAACCAAGCCTTTACACTGAACTAGATCTCCAGAGTTTCTTTTTTTTTTAACTTTTTTAGGCAGGGTCTCACTAAGCTGCCCATGCTAGGCTCTAACTCATGATCTTCCTACCTCAGCCTTCCAAAGTGTTACTGCATTTACTCTATAAAACTCCCTTTCCCTCTAACTTACTTTTATCCTCGAAACTAAGGGAAGAAATAACTCTGAAGCTCAGTTACACCTGAGAATGCTAACTGGCAGCTGAAGGGTTAGTCTGGAGGAGGAGCGGCTTCATAACCACCGCACCAGTTTCAATGTCTGCTACAGAAAGCAGTGAGGTAAAAATAAAGAGTTCCCACTGACGGTGGCAGTAAAGAGCCAGAAAACCTCACCAGGCCCCAAGTAAGGGAAGACAGGCCCAAGAGACACAGATCGAGCAATGCTCAAGGAAGCGGGACATGACAGAGATGGCACCGCACTTGAGTAGCCCAGCCCCACCTTGCTAGTCAAAGTGCCTCAGTCTACTCGAGAACAAGCAGATTCCCAACTCAGCTCTAATGACACTGCTCTTGGTGGGGCCCCAGAATACCCTTTACCAGCATCAGGACACAGCAGGAGGACAACTGAGTCACAGCCCCACACCTGTGACCACCCGAAACACTGGCTTTCAGCACTGCTCCAGTGAACTCCCCTGTGCATACGCTGCTGCCAGGAATCCAAATACATGTGCACTCTGAACTACGTGCGCCCATCACTGAGGGCACTGACCTGTTTGTTACGCTGCACCTGCCAGGCCATCTCCCTCCTGCCTTCCACCAACAGGAATAAAGAAATGAGGCATTTGAATGGGGCTGAGAGAAACCACCCCATTAAGCTGAAGCGCAGGCCAGCAGGGATGATGGCCCAGTCCCTCTGTGACACCGTCCTCTCCAGCTCCAGGGCTGCCCATCCCCAATGGCACTCCTGAACACGCGGACTGGGCAAAGTGGCCTGTCCCGCTGCAAGGACACAGGTCACTGTGTGAGCACAGGGAAAACAAGCCCTGAACTACAGATTGCCTGAGATGATGGAGAGCTTTTTAGAGGCCATTCTGGTCATTCTTGAAATCAAAGAGAAACCTTTATTTTCAACAAATATGCCTACAAGAGATGGATCATTGATCTACTATAAACAAGTCTCTCTTCACATACAGCACCAAAATATATATTTAAAAAATTAAAAAACACACAGTCCCACCCCTCACACACACATCTCCCCAAAAGCCACATGGCTCGGACCAAAAGGAAAAGTCAAACTCAATGCCCTCACACAAAAGTCATCTTTGAATTAGGATTTACAAATTTATATATTCTTTCCTATGAAAAACAAAACAAAAAATAAATGAAAAACAAGGGGTAAGGAAAAACTGAAAATAAAGGCCTGACAGGACTTAGGAAAATTAAGAAAACATACTGTCTGCCTGCGAGCTAACAGAAAGCAAAAGAGTGATCAGTGCTCTTCATGTACTCTGAAAGGGAGGTCTTGAGTTAACTGATATTCCCTCATAATGCAGCACTCAGTGACCAGGTAAACCCTCAGGAGTCAGAAACACTGGGGAGCACTGGGGTAGTAACCAGCAACGTGTCCAAATCCTTAGGATGTACTATAGTGCATAGACAGCTCAGACTTCGAAAACGTCTTTCACGTGGGTTTGCCAGCATTTAAAAGGAACACATTCTCTTTAAAAAGAAGATTCTGGGTAAAAAAAAAGTACAAGGGGTGAAGGGGTCTTTACTGCAGTGAAAATCTTTCAGTCAGTCTGAGGGGAGGCGAGTCCTGGGCCATCACAACCGTGCATCTGCCCGCACCAGCTCTACTTGGGCTCCTCGATCACACCCTTGCTGAGGTCTGTCATTTTTGGATATTTTACTTTCTTCTGCCAGCTCGTTTTGATCAGTGCTCTTCATGTACTCTGAAAGGGAGGTCTTGAGTTAACTGATATTCCCTCATAATGCAGCACTCAGTGACCAGGTAAACCCTCAGGAGTCAGAAACACTGGGGAGCACTGGGGTAGTAACCAGCAACGTGTCCAAATCCTTAGGATGTACTATAGTGCATAGACAGCTCAGACTTCGAAAACGTCTTTCACGTGGGTTTGCCAGCATTTAAAAGGAACACATTCTCTTTAAAAAGAAGATTCTGGGTAAAAAAAAAGTACAAGGGGTGAAGGGGTCTTTACTGCAGTGAAAATCTTTCAGTCAGTCTGAGGGGAGGCGAGTCCTGGGCCATCACAACCGTGCATCTGCCCGCACCAGCTCTACTTGGGCTCCTCGATCACACCCTTGCTGAGGTCTGTCATTTTTGGATATTTTACTTTCTTCTGGTCCAGCTCGTTCTGAGCCCAAAGTAGTAGTTTCAGTAATTTTGCCAGCTTGGGCGTTGACTCACGATTCTCATAATCTAGAACAGCTTGGTTAACTTCACTCCACACCTGGAAAATAAATACAACCCATAAAGACAACCACACATAGAGAACAGCAGTCTATTAATAGCATACATTTTATGCTCTTGGAAACCAGTTAGCATGAGAAGCTTGTTATCTACTTGAACCTTAAGCCCCAAACTGTGAGACACTTTAGGGGTACTAAACACAACCCTCAGCTGGCACGGTTTCTAGAGTCTGGCCAGCAAATGTCACGTGCAGCCTCAAGGTCAGTTAGGATGCCGGAAGCCTTGAGAATATCACACAGAGGCAGCTGTGAGAGCGCAAAGGGCAGCACAGTGGGCAATACATGTTCCCTCCTGACAAGCTTCAAGGAAACATCCCGAGTAAGTGGACCTTCAAGGGCAGGCGGATCTTCCACCACAGAGCCTCAGAGAGGAGGGAGCTGGCATGTGGGAGAAGGGGACCCTGTGTCTGGGGAAGCGATAGCTGTCACATTCAGCTGGACACAGGAGTGGCAGCAAGAAGAGAAAGTTTCAGAAGAAAATATGCAAGTACATGTTTTCTAAGTTTCTAAACAGGAAGAATGTTAAGATAATTAAAATAAATTTGCAAGGTAGTTGTAGTCACAACTCTGCTGCTCCTAGTTTGACAAAATAAAAAGAGTAAAATTTAGGGAGGTGCTGCCACTGTCATACTGTAGTGGCACAAGCACAGAAGCCATGTCTCACCCCAAACCACAAATGTAGCCAAAATGCCATCCTCTTGGAAATCCCACTCTGAACACTTATGAAAGGTGAAAAAGGACTACTGCTTTTATTGAGTGCTACCTTTTGCCTCTGCATCATGTGGAGAAGGTCTCCAAAGGGTGACTCTTCAGGGCTATCAAAGGCCAGCAGGGCCAGGGTGCGCTCCATCTCTGTGAGGCACTCTCTGCTCTCCTCGCCCTGCTCTGCCAGCTGTGTCTGGGCAAACTCCAGCGCTGCCTCAGTCTCACGCTGGCGGATCAGCTCGATCAAATGCTGTTGCTGGCAATGGCAGAGACAGAGAAGCTTAGACGGTATACACCAGGTGAGCAACACTGCGCATGGTCAGCAACAGTCACCAATGCATTGTATGGGACTGGAGATACAGCTCCGTGGGGGAGTGCTTGCCTAGCACAAGGCCCTGAGCTCTATCCCTGGTACTGCAAAAATGGTATAACCCAAAGAGGAAACTTTTCTATCATCTCCAAGGTCCAAGTTATTAAATTTGCATTTAAACAGCAGCTTCTAAAATATATAAAACAGCAACTAACTCGAATCCTGTCCACATACAAACTAAAACATTAGTCTATTAATGCAAATTAGCCTGCTTATTTCTGAGTCATTGAAAACAATCTTTATTAAATATCCATACCACACTACTCTGATGGGACTCACCTGCAGATGAAAGTAAAGATACCGGTTTGTGTCCAGGAGCTCTGGATGGAGGCTGTTGATCAAGGCGATGGCCTCTTGAATCTGACCCTTCAGAATCATCTCCCGAATCTTGATCCGTTCATCAAGTGTTTCTAGATCCACACTCGGTTCAATTCCAGATTCCATTCGAAATTTTTCTGCTGCTTCCTTAAAGCCCTCTAAAAATGAAAACCATCTTCACTGTTAGGGAAGGCAGCAGAGAATTACTGCAGACTTTGTATCTCTAGAAAGCCTCTGATATCAACCTCTTTCTTAGAAACTTGTATTACTGTACATTTACATAGTAAGCCCTCAAAGCACAGGAACAAGAAGACTGTACTTTATTCCTTTCCACTCCATCCAAATGGCCCTAAACTACCAGCCAGAAGTTAGAATGACTGCTAATGCAGAGCCAGTGTGAACATCTTGAAGAAGACTTGGGATTATAGGCCTGGATGCCAGAGCTGAAGTCTGGCTCCAGACAAAGCAGACTTCAAGCTAGATGTGCTGCACCTCCCTGGCTTCACCTGCAGAGACCCAGGGACTCCCGAGCTTAGTATAAGCCTGTAATTCTCTCCAACACAAAGCAAGCATATGTACCCTTCCTCCTACCACAAGGACTGGCCTACACTTCATCACCTTTCTAAAAAATTTTAATAAGCATTAATTTGGGATGGGGGACTAAGCATTAACAGGAGGAGACTTTTCCATTTTGTGCCCTTTGAAAATACCTACATTTTTCTCACCAGAGCCAACACTGACCTTCCACCCAATGTAAGGATGAAGAAGGGTCTGAAAGCTGTTTTCTTCTACACATTACTGCCCTTCCCCTTTCCCTTTTTTGGGGTGGGCTTACCTCAAAATAGGCCAGTATACTTTACCAGTCTGGCCAGAAGACAGAAATTATTTGGTCTTTAAATTAATTTCAGAACAGTCTCAATGATCTTGATTAGGTCTCAGGGTCCTGGAATAATTACTTTATCTCTAGAAAAGGTTCTCTTTCATATGATAATTGACAAATCTGTCAAGTTAGCATTGTCATAACTTTACTAGCTTCAGCAGTAAAGCACCACTTGGACAAAAAAGAAGAATTTTGTTCAAGCAGCAGATTCCTTCTAGCATGCCATTACCTGTGACCAGGTAGTTCATGATGAGTCGATTCATGTCTGCTCGCTGGACATGTAAGTTATTGAGCTTTTCCATCCACTCATCTTTTGTGATTTCATCGGGCTTTTCTGCATAACTCATTCTGATTTATTTCTAAAAGAAAATACAATAATTGGTTGAGAATTTTATACTCATCATGATCACTTCAAGAAGTAAATATAAGGCAAGGGATTTAGCTCAGTGGCAGCACACATACCTTGCAAGTGCAGCATCCTGGTTCAATCCCCCAGTACCAAAAAAAAAAAAGTAAACACTACCAGTTTAGTAAGAAGTGAGAGACTATATATGTGTCAATACCCAAATGAATGTAAATATTATGTACTGCAACAATTAAAACATAAGTGGGAAAGGTACAAGATCCCAGTAATGAATGTAACTGTTCTATCTACCTAGAATGTACCAATAAATTAAATTAAATTAAAAAAAAACAAAGAGGTGGGAGAGGGTAGATAATTTTAATCTTGAAAACAGCACAAAAGGCCTGAGACCCAAATGCAGGTTTGGGGAACACCAGCAAGGCTGGGCTGTCTGCACACCAACCTTGTAGGGCATGCAACAAAGAACCTTAAAATTAAGTGGCCAAGAGGCTGGCTACACTACGTTAGAATGAGAAAGGCCTTACAAACTGAGGGAGGCATTACAGTTCCTGGCTGAGTGCAAAAGGCAGCCAGTACAGAGTTAAAAGCTAAAGTGCACACTATGACATTTGGTAAAGGAGGGCAATCCTATGTCATCAGACTGACAAAAATTAAGAAGCCTGACAATACCAAATGTTAGAGAAGATGTGGAGTCAAGCATTCTTTGTAAAGCTGCACACATTGCACCTTACAACTCAGCAATACCAGTCCTGCTAAATCTACATCCTACAAAAACTCTGATCAGAGTGCACAAAACACAGACAACTCTGCTCACACAAGAACTATTTGGATGGACAAAAATTATGAAGGCCACTTATCCCAATGTTCATTCAACAAAAGCACAGTCAAAAGAGCTTTGGTATACAGAACCTATGTCCCAAACTCTTGGACAGGTATGTTCCAGTATTCAGAACTTTTCAGATTGTGCACAGGTGATATGGCAAATATTCCTATATATTTTATGACAGCCTCTAAGGCTTGGGACAGCACACCATAATCAGGATTATTATTTCTTCAATGAAATGTGTTTGCATTTGCATTAAGCGCAAGGGAGGATATTAGACTTTACTAAGTCAAGTTTTGTCACCAAATACGCTAAAAAAAAACCTTTTGGTTTCAGAGATACTCAGATTTGAGAAGTGGCTGTGGTTGTGATCACACAACAAAATTTAATAAAGCAGTTAGAAATGAATAAAATTGCACAGAATCACATGGATGACTCATAAAATGATGCTGAGGTTAAAGCAGAGGCCCAAGTGTGGCATGAGTTTTTAAAAGAACAAACTCAAGACAAACTACATAGTACATGCCTTAACAGTAAATACCGGTGACCAAAACTGTTTTCGTTCTGTACTTTTAAGTAAGGGCATGAAATCTGACACTAGGAGGTGTTTACCTGTGGGAGGAGGGTGGGAAGGTGGAGGTCACAGAAGCAGCAGTAATAGCTCCTGGAGCACTACCTGGGCTCTGGAGGTGGTGCTGACACAGCACTGGCTAATGTCACATTCTGTCATTTATATATACATCGTGGATATTTGTACACAGCACAGAATGAGCTAATTTGTTTCAACAAATTAAAAAAAATTAAAATTGGCTCTGGCTTCCTGGCTGACAATGGAATAAATGTTGGGTGGCAAGAGCTGAGCCAAGTCCAGAAAAGTGATGCTCCAGAGAGGAAAGCAGAAGAAACTGGAAACACCCCACATTAAGAAGCTGTGGCCACAGAGTCAATGGCTACTGCTAGACCTAATGTGAAAGGACAAAAGGAAGGGAAGAACTGAGGACAATCAGAGATCAGAGGTTTCAAGATTGCAGCCTTGGAGGCTGGGACCACAAACAAGGAGGGAAGACTGGGAGAAGAACAGGTTAGAGGAGCAGAGCAGGTCAGGTATCTCCATGACAGGCCGTGCGCCCAACGCTGGGAACAATAATTAGGCACCCCGCCCCCACACAAGTTACTTAAAACCTAGAGTTCAACCAAGACCACCTAGGGAGAGAATGGAGATAAGGAACGAAAGGGGGCATATTAGTTGGGGGACACAACTTCAGAGATCAGCCAGAGATGGAGATGTCAGCAGCAGAAACTTTGCTGAAGGGCTACAAGGAAGGCAAGAGGTAAAAATGGGCGGCGCTGTCACACAGCCAGATCCTTCCCCAGCAGCCACAAGTCAACTGCAGAACTCACCGGGATCCAACTCAATTTACAGAATACAGATAAGCGAAAGGCCCATCTGAAAAGCACTACCCCCGCCCCAAGTACCTTCTCCGTTATCACGTGTAATTGGCAATTACACTGGCGCCATTCGGGTGCCCTAAGTGAAGTTATTAAAAGCACTTGTTTTTCAGGAGGGCGAAGCAGCCTCGAACTCCAGCAGTCATACGGTCAACAGAGACAAATATTCCAAAAAGTAACTTACGACCTCTAGTTCAGTCTGTTCTAACGCAGTTTTTTTTTACAAAAAACATTGTCACAGATACACAGATGTACGCTTCCAGTAACCCTGTGCTGCCCGGCGCCCGCCCTAATCGCAAACTCTGGCCTCCAGCCGGC